ACTGTTGGCAAAAATGGTGCTCCGCTATCGCGTCGAATTCCTTCCTTCAGCCCCGTTTTGTCTCGGTGGTTGACATGTTTCTACCCCGGATCGTCCTTTTTCTTGTCGTGATGGCAACCCTTAATGGTCTTAGTTATCAAGAAAGGGCAATGCCAGCAGACTCGGTTTCCCCGCTATCCTTATTTCTTGGACGAGTACGGATATTTTCCGTCCGCTAGATAATAATGTGGTCACGACATTCGTGTCCTGCTACATGGTTACCAAGTACGTCCTCGCCTCCGAGCTAGTCCAGGTTGCTACCTGGCTAAGCTAGCACTTGGTGTAGCGCTGTTCACACCAATTCCTCCACACATTTATTCATCCTCGTGCACATCCTCACAGCATGCTAGATCGTAGTACCAGAGATCCCGCGATATTTGTGTGCTTAAGTAGGCATGCATATTGTGTGACTAGAAGTAATATGTGACACTGATTGTGTATGAATTGATTGTTGTTGTGTGCTTTTGTTTAGTTGAGTTCTCTTTTGCTTCTTTCTTTTGGGCCCCGGTGTTACATTATTTTTCCCCTATAAAGAGTTGCTCATCATCTGACACCGGACTCGAAGAAGTAATACGGAGTTCAAATATTTGGAAGCTCAGATAAACAGAATGGAATTCTCAGCCGACTGCAGTAAAATGGGGAATACCTGATCGTGAGGCTGATAATGAAATTTTGCATTAGTGTGCACTCCTCACAACAGTACTAATAACTCAAGTCTGTATCAGTATAAAATCCTCACAGCAGTAATGATCTAGCCAGCAGAAAGACAAGTCAGGTACAAGATCAACGGTATATTTTCAGTCAAAGGTATGGGTCATATACAAAATTTTGGCTCAGCAATGCCTGATGCTTGAAATATGTTATCATTCGAAATAAAGTCAGAATGTGATATGCTCAAGGAAGACAGTTAAACAAATTTTCTCATGTAAATATTCAGCCATAGAATATCATGGGTGTCTATGTGTGTGGATTTCAGTCTGCATATCAGTATGAAGTTTTGGATATAAGAAACTCAGTATTCTTCCACACGTTATCAGAAGAAATTTATGATGCAAGGCTCCTCAGCATGATATGTGAATAATTTCCGGTCCAAGAAATCCGGTCTTTCTCAACAAGATACCTCGGTAAAAGCTTCTGACAGACGGAAATGAATTTTTCTCAACAAGCAAAACCGAGGAGAAGCTTCTCAAGTACGGAACTCAGGCTTCTCCTACACAATACTCATGTCAAGCTTCATGTGTAAGCTATCGAGGCTTCTTCTGCATGCTACCCAAACAAAAAGCTTCGAGCAGAAGCTAATGGGCCTTCCTCGGCAAGCTACACGAATGGCTTTTCTCTGCAGATCAAGGATCAGATTTGCAATATTTTTTGTCGGAGGTACAATACAGTCAAAACATATGCCTACCGCAAGAATCAAGTGTTTGGTTGCATATGATTTTTATATATGGTGGGCATGCATCCCCAGTCTCATCAGTCACTCATACGAGATGCGGCAAGGATCCAATAGATATACCTAAGGAAAGTACAGATCCCACAACCTCACGAGTCAGGCAAAGGAAAATGTGCAGAGATACATCTCATGTAATACCATGATCGACAAGATCTGGGGATGACATAACAGATTCCCTAGTGCTGCCAATGGTCATCAAGGTCATTATTCCCGCACCAGGCAAGGTGAGATCAGGAAACCTTGTCACCCTCTTATATGATTGGACTCAACAAAGAGCTCTATACAGCTATAAGCCCCGAACATATGTCATATGTGTGCGGACTCAGGTCAGAAAACAGGCACAAAGAAATAATGCCAACCATATTGCACTAATCACGTCCCTGGTCATACGAAGAATCAAGGACAGGTGTGGTCAAGTTATTTTAGTAAGGTATCCTGACAAAGAAAATCATGACCGTTAAAAGGTGAGACTGACAACAAAGGTATGATGATTTTTGCACGACCATCAGGGTCCGGATACCCAAGTCAGTTGGAGGCCATAATTCTATATGGATCCACAAAGACATACACCTTCAGCGGCCTACTCTATTTACAAGGATTTTCATATCCCGCTAACTTGCTTGACATGATTAGTGTGGAATCTCCAAGTCTGTTCTGTCAGATCCAAGATTCCTTTACAACCTCAACAGTTTAACCTCAGCGGCAGTGATAAAACATATCACAACGTATTACCAAAGATGGGTATACCGACAAAATGAGAAAGTCAAAAGCCGAATAATCAGCTCAGACCCGGTATACTCGCTGAAGAAATCAAGTACACGGTCAGTCTGTTAGGAAAAAAGCAATTGTCCGTCAGCCCCCTGTCGGGCCAGTCTCAAGATACAAATATTTGAGGTATGACACAACTATAACTCCATACATCATTATATATATTGCTCCATAAATCGAAGAACAGTCTCCTCCATAAATTGAAATGGGCCTCGCAGCCCAGGAATAGCTCGCATAAAGCGACGTAACCCGCAATATGAGGATAGAGGCGGGAGTGAGACTGTGCAGTTGGAGGCCGTAATACTCCAGCAAACCTCGGAGGAAGGGATGGATCGGAAATCCAACACCTCTTAACAAGAAGGGGACGAAGCATACTCGCTCTCCCTTGGACGGATTGGGGAAGCTCTCCGTTTGAGCCCCGCCCTTGAAGGACGTCATCCCTGCTCGTACGGGGACCAAGTCCGCGGGGGGAAGAAAGCCCTGTGTTTGCAGCTTCGCCAGCTGACTGTGGGATACGGAAAATCTCTCCCAATCACCCTTCTTGGAGCCGTGGGGACGAGAGGAAGAGCCGGGAGCGCTAGCCATGTTGGGGTGGTTTTTCTTAGCAAGCTCTAAGGATTTTTCGCGGGGTGTGGAATGGATCTGAGATCAATTCTCTTTAAATAGGCATATTTGTGGTACGGTCGGGGTGGTATATGCAAAAATACCCTGACCTCTCGCATTCGCTCGACACGTGGAAACTGAAGTTGTTGATGCATAGAAGTCGAGGAGTACAACATTAAATGGAATGCCGAACACACTACTCGGAAGTCATCGGTGGAGGAACCCGCCTTGCAGTGCCGAAGATAATCTATGTGTCGAACACCTCGTCATTGAAGACTGGTTTGGGGGCTACTGGGAGAGTCCTGGACTAAGGGGTCCTCGGGCGTCCGACCTGTTAGCCATGGGCCGGACTGATGGGCTGTGAAGATATGAAGACCGAAGACTGCACCCGTGTCCGAATGGGACTCTCCTTGGCGTGGAAGGCAAGCTTGGCGACCGAATATGTAGATTTCTTTCTTTGTAACCGACCTTGTGTAACCCTAGATCTCCCCGGTGTCTATATAAACCAGAGGACTTAGTCCAGAGAGGAGGAGATATTTATTACCATAGCCATACAAGCTAGACCTCTAGGGTTTAGCCATTACGATCTCGAGGTAGATCAACTCTTGTAATACTCGTATTCATCAATATCAATCAAGCAGGACGTAGGGTATTACCTCCATAGAGAGGGCCCGAACCTGGGTAAACATCATGTCCCCTGTCTCCTGTTACCATTAACCTTAGACACACAGTTCGGGACCCCCTACCCGAGATCCGCCGGTTTTGACACCGACACACATCACCTGTGCGCATCTCTCGGACTGAGACCACCATCGCCTACCCAAAGCAGGAGCTCCGACCCGCCCCAGGCCCCAATCTGGTCTGCCCGAGCACGAGCCCCAGGTCCTGGACATCTCCACCGCGCGGACATCCCATGCCGGCCCGAACCCATGAGAAGAAAGGAGCCACCACCACTCGCACACCAATCACTGTCGCCAGAGCTGCCGCAACATCGCCCATCATTGGTGCACCCACCATAGCCGGAACGCGACCCCTACCAAACCACAATCGCTGTCAACCACCACTGCAGGTACGCAACAAAGGTCACCAACCCACGCTGACCGTAGCCCGCACACCCTTGTCGGAGTACAAGACTAGGCCTGACCGGAGGCCGGCAAGCACGCTATCACTAGCGACAAGCCGAGCCCCGTCACCACAACGAGCCGAGCTGTCTGTATCCCCGGAAAGGCAGATCCGAGACGCACCCGTCCCATCCCTTCCGATGACATAGTGCGCACCCCCGCAACCCGCAAACCACAACCCTTTCATGCCGCCGCCCACAAACCGCGCCACCACCGCCGGCTGCTGCCGTGGTGCCGCCACATCTCGTCCACACGTTGCGCCACCAAGCGCCGAACGAGCGAAGGAAGGCACCCCTCTGTCGCCGATGCTAGCCAAGCTTTGCCCGTCAGCGCACCAAGGCTGCAACAAGGACATGAGGGGGCAAGGATGGTGGCCTGGACCGGCGGCTAGGGTTCCGCCGCCCCCTCCGCCTCCTC